TGTGTGTATAGATAGTGAGTAATTGAACTGCAGTCACACGGTATTGTTGAAGTTAACGTTCGTTCATTACAGTGTTGTTTTAGCGCGAGTATTGAGATTAGGTGTATCGCAGAGTTATATTCGGAAAGAATAAACCAGTTTTATTAAGTAAAGACTTGTGTCGTTAAAGTTTCATTGGAACGAAGTTACGGAAAAATCAATTAACAAACGGAGACGTAACATTATTAATTATTTTATTTTATGAGTTAATATTTCATGATTGTTTAGTTTTTTATAACAAGAGAGTTAAAAGCAAATATTTTAAAGGCGATAGTTATGACAAGTTTGGTTACGTAACCCGGCAAGAGTCTTACATTGTGTTTGCAATTCATTAGTTATAGAGGCCCCAGTGATAAAGATAAAAATACTGGAGACCAAACGAGCGGGAGCGGAGAAAAAGTAAAGTAAAATGGTAAAGTAAGATTTTCAGACAGAGAAAAGCTGGAAAACATGAAGTTAGCTATAGTGGAAGTGAATAGCCTTAATGGATGATATGTTAAAGTGAGATTAATAGTTTGATAAGATAAGGAGAATAATTGTCTTGTCAAAGGGTGTTCTAAACTAATTGAACCCGCCTGTGTGGACTTTGACGGAAATAAGACGATTATCGGAAGTTCAGGATATAACTGTGGTAATTCACGAGGCAACGTAAGTGAATTATTCACCAATATTGTTATGATAAAAGTAGATAAAAATAGTTCGGCTTGTCAACTGGATTCTAAAGCACTTTTGACAAGAAGGAGAAAATTGTATAGTGTTTAAGATACAATTGTGCTCTCTATAGTGTAAAGATTTTTTGTACATACGTTTGTCTTGTTTTGAATATGCTATTTTAAAACAAGTGTAGTGCAAGCTGTCCGTTTATTGTTTGAATTTATCGCCAAGAAATCACAGACACCTACTGTAACAGTCCACACCCATACACACACACACATATATATATATACTTAAAGTTCGACAACCCTGATCTCATGATGAAACTCGTCAAGCATTTTAACAAAAAATACATTTACCATCAAGAAGGGGGGAAGAGGCCTTGATAGCACCTGACCCTCCCAGCTAGCAGCAAGCAACCAAACACCAATAAATCAACTAAGGCATAACATATGAGTTTGATTTTCTTGTTTATATCAACATAAAACGAGGAGCTTGGAAGCTATTAATTTACATTATGGCTTAGCAGTATCTATATTGTAAGTGTGTAATTTGTGTCAAACTCAGAAGATAGAAATAAAATCGAAAATGGGCAAATTGGAGTGAAGAAGTGTCACGTGATACAGAGAATTGAAGATTAAGAATTTATTTAAGTATTTATTTTTGAAATAAAAATTGAAAGGTATATATTATAAAAATGTAAATTATATACTAAGTTTCGATGATATACATTGATAATAGTTTAATGTCACTGTGTAATAAGAGTGGTGCTATGCACATTTTGACCACCATTTAAAGAGCTTTATTTTGTTTTGTTGTTACTTGTTTTTAGTGTTATTATATTGTTTTAAAAGTCTTGTTGCAACGTGCAATATTTTATGAAGTTTTTCTAATCTTGTTGGGAAATTGCTTTTAAGAGGTTAAATCCACGAGTTACATTTTAATTCGTTTCAATTTTCTGAATTAGGCATGGCCATATCTATCTGAAAATAAAGAGAAGAGAAATGTGATATATAAGCATATCATGCGTTTCTACCCCTCAGGTATTAGTGTGAGAGAAATGTCAGAACGAGCTGCCTGAAAGTTTGATAACAAATGATCGCATATCATTTTCAAATTTTGTACTTGGATGATTTGTATTATATATCCTCCAATTAATGATGCAAGTTTTCAACGGATTATTTACAGCTAACAAGTAGGCCAATGTAGGGTCACAAGTAATTATGGATTTTTTAAGGGATAACAATTTGGAAATTCTGTTTAAGAAAGACAAACAATTGATACAATATATCCCAAAAGCTTAAAATACTGTTGTTTTTTTTTACCTTGTCAGCGATGATCATCTCTTTTCTTGAACAAATCCGAAGCCTCTGAAAGTGAGGAATCTTCAATCTAGCCTAGCAACTTAGGCCTACTGCTTCAAGGAGGATCCTGGCTGATAACTTCATGAAAATGTAGAGTGAAGAGATTTTGATTATTCGATTAGCGTGACTAAGTCTAGTCTTGCTTTGACCCAATATATTTGTATTGCAAATTGTATGCAAATATGCTACGTCAGAGCGGGATTACATCTATTAATTACACTATTTGGAGTCAAACCAATCAAATCTCTGCACTTTACATCGCAGGTTAGGCCTATCCACACCACACACAAACTCTCTCTCTTCGAAAATATGTAGACTTAGTCAAATGATTTTTATTATGCATTTTCCTTTAAAAAATGAAGATGGGCTTTTTTTTTTTAGTCCCGGGCCTGGGGCAACATCCCTCAATAGCCTCTCCTTAATCTGTCCCTGAAGCCCTTAGTGACTCGCTATCAAATACACCATCTTCCGTCTCTTTCTCTCTGTTACGACATCGAGGTCACGTGACTAGTATCACGCCATGTCATTCTCGAACTTTCACGTCTTTTCCTTAAATCTCGTGATCTTTCTAGATATAGTGTAATCTGGTATATATATATGACGGTCACAACGCGACGGAAGAACAGTTAATGAGTAATTGAATGT